ACCCAGATTGTTGGGGGCAATATGCTGACTCTCTGTAAACTGCTTAGAGAGGGCTGAAAGCCCTATGAAGCGGTATATAAGTCTACTGCTATTACATATTTTTAATGGCACAATTTGAAATTTGATTCCCCATAATTACCTTGCTCTTTTTTATTATTAATGGACAGGCATTGCCTCTTTCTCTCTGTAATGCTCTTTGCCAACCTGGAACTAGAAAAAAAAGGAAAGAAGGGAAACCCTTCTGTTGTTATGATTGTATTACATGCCCAAAAGAATCAATATCCCATCACAAAGGTGAGTAGTATGTATAGATATAACATATGGTTTATTTAAAAAAATATCATGCAAGATATACAGATAACTCATGCCACCCCTGATACATTCATGTAATTATCTATGCTCTTCACTGCTAACCACTTTTGTATTAGATTTGCATTTAAAATACATTTGCATTAGGTAAAAAAAAAAAAGAGGGATTGAAGCAGTAGTGGGATACGACCGGTACGCCCCACTACGGGCATACTGGTGCCTGCTGGGAGCACCATGTAACGTTCCGGTATGGTGCTCCAGAGAGCCCACCCGTATACCTGCCCTCCTTTCCTGTATTTGAGCCAATTGGGGCCTACGCACATGGAGCGTACAGTGTCTGCATGACGCTCCACCGAGCAGCTGGTGCGTTGCAGAGCACATGCATGTGGTGGATGCCTGGCCCTGTTGTACTATACCGGTTGCAATGGGATCCAGAACCCTCTGCTGGATTGAAGAGAGATACATTGTCTCTTACAATGACCTTTACTTTTATCCTTTCTCTTAGAAATGAATATTTGTTGGCAAGGAAATTATGCCACTCATCATTGAGATGAGTGTGCATAGAGGTTTTCAAATCTTATTTTGTTTTCGGGCCTCTTTCAAGATCCTAAAGTCAATATATTATAATTTTACTTTACTTCTATTTTGCAGACATGGCTGACTGTGTCAAATGCCCTGATGATTACTATGCTAATGAAGATAAGAACACCTGTATTCCCAAGATTATAAGCTTCTTATCTTATGAAGAACCTTTGGGTATCAGTTTAGGCACCAGTGCTCTTTTATTTTCATTGGTAACAGTTATGATATTAGGAATATTTCTGAGGTACCACAATACTCCCATTGTGAAAGCCAATAACTGTGGCCTTTCCTACATGCTTCTTATTTCACTCATGTTGTGCTTCCTTTGTGCATTGCTCTTCATTGGACAACCAAAGAAGGCCACATGCTTTCTCCAGCAAATAGCCTTTGGCATTGTCTTCACATTGGCTGTTTCTTGTGTTCTAGCAAAAACCATCACTGTGGTTCTCATTTTCATGGCAACCCAACCAGGATCCAGGCTCAAAAAATGTGTAGGGAACAGTCTGGCTTGTTCTATTGTTCTTTCTTGCTCTTTTCTTCAAGTAAGCATTTCTCTGGTGTGGATGGCAACTTCTCCTCCATTTCCAGATATGGACATGCATTCAGTTCCTGAAGTAATTGTTTTGAAGTGCAATGAGTCATCACCCGTCATGTTTTATTGTGTATTGAGTTATATGGGTTTCCTGGCAATAGTCAGTTTCACTGTGGCTTTCTTTGCTCGCAAGTTGCCAAATAGTTTTAATGAGACCAAACTTATAACATTCAGCATGTTGGTATTTTGTAGTGTTTGGTTCACTTTTGTCCCCACTTACTTGAGTGCCCATGGAAAATATATAGTAGCTGTGGAGATCTTCTGCATCTTATCTTCCAGTGCTGGATTGCTGGGCTGTCTCTTTTTCCCCAAATGCTATATTATTTTGTTGCGACCTGAGTTGAATAAGAAACAATTCTTAAGAAGAAAGCAGTAGAGAACCTTCTTCCCTTTTAAAAGCATGCTAACCTCATTCAAAATGCATAGTGCACTAGGGATTGATTGCTGTGATGTGAAAAAAAATATTAAACAAATGCAACACCTCTATATAAGTGCTCTAACAAAATGAAGCAATTAATCAAAATATTAAATACCCATGCCTCTTTAGCTGACAAGTATTTCCTTATTTATCAACTCCTTATTGTTATAGTAGAATTATTTCAACAATACAGTATATAAGTAGGGCATTCTTCCCTTAAAACAAATTAACAACATATGCTAGGACCTTATCCTTCAAGCTGTACCACTTGAATAAGGACAGAAGAATGGAAATGAAGGGCTCTGGAAGAAAAAAAAAACCTGCAGTGAATGATGGGAAAGGAAGAAGGCCTTTCAAAATCTCTACTTCCAAGGCATGCTCTTGATCCTTTTCTGGTTTCAGGCAATTTTTTCTACATATGTGCCCATTCAGAAGTAATATTACTTTATCACCACCACCACCACCACCGATGATGATGATGATGATGATGATGATGATGATGATGATGATGATGATGATGATTATGATGATTATGATGATTATGATGATTATTATGATGATGATGATGATGCACCCATAACTGATTCCAGATTGTTTAAGTTAAGTTATGGAATAAGGAGTGAAAAAATGGCAATCCAAGACCATCTGGCTATCCTCCATCAACAATCAAAGCTACGTGTATAGCTTTTCACCTTCCATCATTCCTTTTTGTACAGGAGAAATTGCATTTGCGCTTGTGTCCTGAACTGCACTAATTCTTCTCACTAAGACAATATGAAACAGAAGTTTGAAATAGAGCACAATGTAGAATGTTAGTGCAAGTAGGGATATTGGAATATTTGCTAATGATCTGATATCCTAGATCAGTGATGGCGAACCTATGACACGTGTGTCAGTGCTGACACGCGTAGCCATTTGGGGTGACACGCACAGGATTTCATNTCTATATTCAAGGGCTAGGTTCAATTGGCTGGTAATATTTCTATAAATCCCAGATATTCTCTATATCAGAATTATTGTCCATTTGATGAATTAGTCAATAAAATTAATTAATTGAATTTTCTCTAATGAAAATTTATTTATTTATTTAAAAGATTTTTCTGGTCACCCATTTCTATTATTCAGTACTCTAGAGCTTGCCTGGACTTCACCTTTAAATCATCCCAAGTTTGTCAAGAAAAGTTAGATCTTTATAGCTTTTTGGAAACTTAACAGATCTCAGGACAAAAGAGGTTCTGAAGGGCAGGGGGCTCTGTACATAATCTGAAATCTCATTAGATGGCAATTTTTGAGGGACAGGAGAGGACAGAACTGTCTGAATTGGTTATTGATTCAATTAATGCTTTTCTAACTTTTCATCCAAAAACTATTTTGTGACATCCTTGACAAGTACCTGGTGGAATATATGAGGTAAAGTGTGGCTTTTTTTATTTGTCAATGGAGTCAAAAAAATTCCCCCATGAGTTTAAGATTCCTTCCAATGACATCACATCATCAAGGAGTAATTCTTATTCAATGAAGAAAAATAAAGGTCAATGAAAAAAAAGCACACAGATTTCCTCCCACAAATGGAATAATATAATAAAATGAAATGATGAAGATGCAGTAAAATGTAATAATTTCTGTGACAGAAAATCTTTGTTATTAAACCTGAATATTAGAGTTTTGCCAAAGTATTCTATAAAGTATATTTCTCCTCGATCCATTTTCAAAGTATTTCATCCTTTCACACCCAAAGAGAGCCTGAGGCCTAGGCACACAACCATGTCTTCACAGTATTTGATGGAAATATATTCCAAAGGGCAGGGGTTATAACAGAGAAGCCACATCTTCTGGTTCCACTACTCTCCTCCTTACTATGATGATCTTTGAGCCGAGGTGGCGCAGTGGTTAAATGCAGCACTGCAGGCTACTGCTAGATCAGCAGTT